GTCTGTTAGCTTCCCACCTGGGGAGCAGATGCTTGTCAAACCCTCTGGGTGGCTGGTTTTTGGATGTCACACACCCTGCTGTCTGCCTGCACTCCCTGGATTTTAGCTAAATTTGAGAGGCCTAATCCTCAGTTCAGTGCTACTTCTCCATTTTTTCAGAAAGCAAAACTTAATATAACATATTACACGTGATCAATTTAAATTTTTTAGGGAATTCTTGAACCATCAACAGGCAAAACAAAAGCCATGGCAAAATAAAATGAGTTCACCATATTAAAATAGAATACTTTGATAACACAGAAATTACATTTAATTTCCACTTTTTATTAACATGTTCCATGCCTTATTCCTTAGGAACTTGGAAATTTCAAGGTTTCATCCCAATCTGAAACAAAAATAATTCAGAATTTTTAACAGAACAGGTAATTCTGGCCTTCAACCAAATCTATTCCCCATTCAAATCAGGCCGTCAAGGAAAGAAGAAGTCCACCCATCATGCCTGCTCAGCTCACACCAGTCCTGGAAATGAAGTGGTGAGGAAGCTGCAGGGAAAACAGTAGACCATTGCTCTTCAGCTTGCTGGAACCACAAGTCTTGAACACGGCATGAGAGTGATTTATGCAGTGTCCCTTAACACCTCGACCGAGCATTCTGCCACCACAGTGCAGGTGCATCTTCGGATCAAAGGCCCTAGTCACTGGACTGTTATGTGTGTAAAGAACATAAATGGAAGCATTACTTAAAGAAAAACAAAACAAAAAACAAAAGAGCCCCTGATGCTGCTGTATATGCGACAACAAACCAGAATACATCATGCAATTGGAGCATTGTCCTCTTTTCTCCATCACTGACATTATACTATTGTTTTCATGCTACCTTACATAGAGTGATTAAACAAACCTCCAAAAAAGCCTGGATTTCACTCTTTCCAAGCCAAATGAGAATGTTTTTAGAGGGTCTGCATTTCAGAGGTCAGAGAGGCAGGGAGGCGAGGCAGAATCACCCCATTCTTCCCAGTCCTGGACAAGTGTTTGTCTAACCTGCTCTAAAAAGCAAGGATGGAGATGCCACAATCTCTCTAGGTAGCCTGTTCCAATGCTTGATAACCCTCAGAGCGAGAACATTCTTCCTTATATCCAATTACAATTTCCCTTGCTGAGATCCCTGCTTCTTTTCATAGAATCACAGAAAGTTAGGTTTGGAAGGGACCTCAGGAGGTCATCTAGTCCAACCCGCTGGCTCAAAGCTACATCATCCCAGCCAAAGCTTTGTCTAGCCAGATTTTGAAAACCTCCAAGGATGGAGCTTCCACCACCTCTGTGGGTAACCTGTTTCCACGTTTTACTACCCTCCTAGTGAGAAAAGTCTTCCTAATAGGTAACCTAAACTTCCCTTGCTGCAATTTGAGACCATTGCTCCTTATTCTGTCATCTGCCACCAAGAACAGTCCAGCTCCATCTTCATTTGAAACCTCATTCCAGTAGTTGAAGGCTGCTATAAAATCCCCCCTCTGTCTTCTCTTCTCAGACTAAATAAGCCCAGTTTCCTCAGTCTTTCCTCATAAGTCATATCCCCCAGCCCCTGAACCATTTTTGTTGCCCTCCACTGGACTCTCTCCAATTTGTTCACGTCCTTTCTGTAGTGGGGGGCCCAAAACTGAAAACAGTACTCCAGATGTAGCCTCACCAGTGCTGAATAAAGCGGAATGATCACTTCCCTTGATCTACTAGCAACACACCTACTAATGCAGCCCAGTATCCCATCAGTCTATCCCCCAGTGACTACAGAGAATAGCATATCACCATAGTTTCATAGTACCTAGAGTCAGGAGGGACCTGAACAGATCATCTAGCCTGACCCCCTGCCACAGGCAGGAATGAATGCTGGGTTCACAAGACCCCAGCAGGTGGTCGTCCAACCTCCTCTTGAATTTGCCCAAGGTAGGGGTGAGGACCACTTCCCTGGGAAGTTGGTTCCAGATTTTGGTCTCCCTAACTGTAAAATATTGCCTTCTGATCTCTAACCTAAACCTATTCTCCATCAGCTTATTACCATTGTTCCTCATCACCCCAGGTGGTGCTGGGGAGAAAAGGGCTCTACCTATCTGCTGTTG